TTATCGTAATATAGCAAACAGGAGACCAAGGGGTGTCAACAAATATATTGAGGGGAGTAGAAGGTGAGTAGATGAATATTCAACACATAATATCTGTAGGCCATGTGTACTAATAAAATAAAACATGGTACTTGTGAGTTATCTGTCGCCACTTTTTAAATAGCGGGTAGCTGGCTCCTCCACATGAACTTTTTCATTTCGCAAAATAACAAACATTAATCCTAGGGGTTAGGTTTATTTAGAGAGTCTGAAAAAAAAACAAAAAAACGGCGTATTTAGAGAGTCTGAAAAAAGGGCGTATTTAGAGAGTCTGAAAAAAACAAAAAAGGGCGTATTTAGAGAGTCCGAAAAAACCTAAAAAGGGCGTATTTAGAGAGTCTGAAAAAAGGGCGTATTTAGAGAGTCTGAAAGAAAACAAAAAAGTGCGTATTTAGAGAGTCCGAAAAAAGGGCGTATTTAGAGAGTCTGAAAAAAGGGCGTATTTAGAGAGTCCGAAAAAAACAAAAAAGTGCGTATTTAGAGAGTCCGAAAAAAGGGCGTATTTAGAGAGTCTGAAAAAAACAAAAAAGTGCGTATTTAGAGAGTCTGAAAAAAGGGCGTATTTAGAGAGTCCGAAAAAAACAAAAAAGGGCGTATTTAGAGAGTCCGAAAAAAACAAAAAAGGGCGTATTTAGAGAGTCCGAAAAAAACAAAAAAGTGCGTATTTAGAGAGTCCAAAAAAAACAAAAAAGGGCGTATTTAGAGAGTCCGAAAAAAGGGCGTATTTAGAGAGTCCGAAAAAAAGAAAAAAGGGCGTATTTAGAGAGTCTGAAAAAAGGGCGTATTTAGAGAGTCCGAAAAAAACAAAAAAGTGCGTATTTAGAGAGTCTGAAAAAAGGGCGTATTTAGAGAGTCCGAAAAAAACAAAAAAGTGCGTATTTAGAGAGTCCGAAAAAAGGGCGTATTTAGAGAGTCTGAAAAAAACAAAAAAGTGCGTATTTAGAGAGTCTGAAAAAAGGGCGTATTTAGAGAGTCCGAAAAAAACAAAAAAGGGCGTATTTAGAGAGTCCGAAAAAAACAAAAAAGTGCGTATTTAGAGAGTCTGAAAAAAGGACAGATAACCCAGAAGAACCCAAGACATGTTAAACTAATAAAATAAACGTATCTAATAAACTCAGTTAAATTGCATTCCCTGTGAAACCAGGCTTCATGTACCTGACTTCTCCCAGGAGGTTCATTATCTCGTCAGACTTCTCCTCGCTGTATCACAGGAGATAAAACACACAGTGAACAGCTGATAACAGAGTATTGATTAATGCTGATAACAGAGTATTGATTAATGCTGATATCAGAGTATTGATGAATGCTGATATCAGAGTATTGATTAACGCTGATATCAGAGTATTGATTAATGCTGTATTGATGAATGCTGATATCAGAGTATTGATGAATGCTGATATCAGAGTATTGATGAATGCTGATATCAGAGTGTTGATGAATGCTGATATCAGAGTATTGATGAATGCTGATATCAGAGTATTGATGAATGCTGATATCAGAGTATTGATGAATGCTGATATCAGAGTATTGATGAATGCTGATATCAGAGTATTGATGAATGCTGATATCAGAGTATTGATTAATGCTGATATCAGAGTATTGATGAATGCTGTATTGATGAATGCTGATATCAGAGTATTGATGAATGCTGATATCAGAGTATTGATGAATGCTGATATCACAGTGTTGATTAATGCTGATAACAGAGTATTGATTAATGCTGATATCAGAGTGTTGATTAATGCTGATATCAGAGTATTGATTAATGCTGATATCAGAGTATTGATGAATGCTGATATCAGAGTATTGATGAATGCTGATATCAGAGTATTGATGAATGCTGATATCAGGGTATTGATTAATGCTGATATCAGAGTATTGATTAATGCTGATATCAGAGTATTGATGATTGCTGATATCAGAGTATTGATTAATGCTGATATCAGAGTATTGATGAATGCTGATATCAGAGTATTGATGAATGCTTTAACGTGTCGCCCACCTGAAGATCTTTGAGGTGGTGCTGTAACTGTGGAAGATGAAAGTGTGGAAACATGTTATTCACTTTACTCCTGATCACTTTCTGAGGATCTTAGTGCAGTTAAATCTTGTTTTACCTCTTGGGGAGAGTCGGTAATTTAGGAAGAAACAGCTTGGATTCATCCTCAGAGTTGTAGAAGGAGCTGAGGGCGCTGAGACATAAGATAAGAGAAGAGAGGGGAGAAGAGAAGAGAGGAGAGGAGATGAGAGAGAGGAGAGGGGAGAAGAGAAGAGAGGGGAGGAGAGAAGAGAGGGGAGGAGAGAAGATGAGAGAGAGAGGAGAGGGGAGAAGAAGTACTTTATTGATCCCAATTTGACAAATATTTGCGTTGCAGCAGCAGAAAGAGACATGGCATTGAACATTAGATAAATTAACAATCAAAATGTAAACATCTCAAATGGAAATAAAATGGCATTAAAAAAGTAGAAAATATACAAGTTGAAATACAAATTTACAGTAACTAAATATAAAGCAGGATATGATATTTACATTAAGTGCGTAATCAATGGAATATTAAATTGAATATAAATACAATATTTATCAAATTAAAAACATTTAATCTTAGAAATCAGGCGTCTTTTGTGATATTTATTAAGCTTTTAAACATGCTGCCCTTCTGCTTGGGATAAAGAACAGAAGGGGCTGAAACTGTCCATCTTAACGGCACGTCCACACGGCAGCGTCACGTTGAAGCTTGCCGGCGGGCGTGTCTGAAACTCGACCAACAACCAATCACATGAATCTCCCGCCCCGGACACACAAGCACGCGGTTTGATTGGCTAGAGCTTGTACTGGCATATGATTTGATTGGCTGGCGCTTCCGTCGACGCTTGAAAAGTTGAACTTTTCTCAACTTTCGAAGCGAGCAACGGAGGCAAAGCGTGACGTCACCACATTCAAAGTGAATGGGAAGCGTCTCCGTTGAAGCACGCGACGCTGCCGTGTGGACGGGCCGTAAAGAACAGAGAACGAAATCCATTGGTCGATGTGAGCGCTCTTATATCCCATGATTGAAGTCGTTTTTAATGATTTATAATAGTTTCTTTTATTTGCATATTGATGGTTAATGAGCAGTTCATTGTGTTTTACAGCTGTAGTCGTCTGCCTGTATGGGTTTGTGTTCATTTGTTGTAACTCTGTTCATGCTGCCCTCTTGGCCAGGTCGCTCTGGAAGAAGAGACTTTAATCTCAATGAGACTTTATATATATTGAAATCTTTGTTCTGACTAACTTCCTGCCAACCCCACTCTCTTTACCCATGACTGCACAAGAAAAAGCTCAGCACCATCTAGTGGATTGAAAAAGCAATTGTTACCAAAAACATTAATTTGGATTTGCAATATGTTAATAGTTTATACAATAAAATATCGTTATTTGGTGTCCGTGTATCGATACAATATCACCACACAAAGTATCGCCATACTCTGCTGTATCGATTATTTCCCCCACCCGTACTATATCTATTGTTATTGTTTTCACCGGCTCTCCTCCGTCACCTCCAGGTCGCTCTGGAAAAAGTGATTTGAATCTCAATGAGACTTTTACCTGGTTAAATAAAGGATATATATATTTATTTACACAATAACACAGACTATAACACCCCTTGTTGTTAAATACCAACCAACTATGCAATATATATATATATATATATATATCAGGGTTTCCGTTAGCCGGTAATTACCGTTTTTTAGCTGGTAAAATGTAATAAAAACCGTTAAATTCAAAACCTGCCGGTCAAATGTCCGGTAATAATTAGGGATGCTCCGATCGATTGGCCGCCGGTCATTAACGGCCGATATTCACTCTTAATAGTTTGATCGGTGCTCTCTATAAAGGCCGATCAGGAGAGCTGGAACTGATCGATATGGACATAAACGCGAGTGAAGTGTAAGATCAGGGGCCTCATTTATAACGCCTTGCGTAGGATTGACGTAGGAAGGTTGCTTACGTAGTACAAAGCACAAAAATAGGTACATACATTTTCCGCCATTTTCCGATTCACAAAACATTGCGTACCGGCGTAGGAAGTGCGTATTATCATCAGAAAAAATATACATGTTATTATTATTGTTTTATGTTTTGTTTCTGACATGTTCAATAAATTGACAAAAAAAAACAGGATGCGTTTTTTGTAAATTGTGTAACTTTTTTTTTTGATACTTTAATATTTATGAAATATATCTTTAATACTTGTGTCTGCATGCTTCTTAGTGCACATGAAGCTGTCTTTGGCTCTCTCTGCTGTAACCAATGTAAAGGTGAATAGTATGTGTGTACCTGCTCTCCTCCGTCACCTCCATCCAGTGCATGCAGGTCACAGAGTTCTGCATGGGGAACACGTGGAGGATCTCTGCCTTCTCCACGCCGCACAGGACCACCTGCTGGGTGTCTTTCAGGTGGAAGGCCAGGACTGTGGAGGAACGAGAGAAGTAAGGTTTCATATCTTCATTTTCACATCAACAAGGAGGCGAGGGAGGACGCAAGCTGTCATTATAATAAAGGACTCGACAAGTAAAGTAATACATGCAGAATCACATCAATGTGCATGGCTAAGTGGAAACAAAGACATATGCACAGGAAAAGACAATTAAATGCAACTTTATATATTTGATTTTATAATAATACAGGATTTAATAAATAAGGAAATTCATAAAAAGGTTGATAAATGTTAATAGAAAATTATAATTAAAAATGTATAAAATAAATGAATACAAAAATGTGTTGATTTTCAATTTAATCAAAACGTTTTATTTAATTATTTTCCTATTTATGTACATTTCATTTTTTTCAGATTAACTTGCAGAATAATTTGAAAAAGGAGTATTTATGTACAAATGTTTGTTTTTTTATTTAATTATTTAATTAATTTATTAATAATAATAAATTATATTTATATAGCGCTTTTCAGGAACTCAAAGACGCTTTCGGAATCGTGAAGGTCTTGGGGGAGGGGATTCCAGAGCTTAGGAGCTGCCACTGAAAAGGCTCTGTCCCCAAAGCTGCAGAGTCCGGCTGCGGTGGATCTGAGGGACCGTGGGGGTTGATAGGAGGAGAGAAGGTTTGTGAGATGAGGGGGGGGCCAGATGGTGGAGGGCTTTGTAGGTGAGGACCAGAATTTTGTAGTTGATGCGATGGGAGACAGGAAGCCAGTGGAGGTCTTTGAGGACTGGGGTGATGGGATGCCATGATTTGGTATGCGTGAGGAGACGTGCAGCTGCATTTTGAACCCGTTGGAGTCTGTTGAGGGATGTAGTGCTGATGCCGTAAAGAAGTGAGTTGCAGTAGTCAAGGCGGGAGGAAATGAAGGCGTGGATTAGTCGTTCGGCTGCGGGGCGGGTGAGAGAGGGTCGGATCTTTGCAATATTGCAGAGGTGGAAAAATGAGGCTTTGACTGTTTGGCAGATGTGAGGTTCGAGGGAGAGGGTGGGGTCAAAGATCACGCCAAGGTTGCGTGCCTGATTGGAGGGGAAACAATGGTGCCATCGATGGTGAGTGATATGATAGTGACCTTGCTGAGGGTGGATTTGGCAGGTTCATTTTTCTGTAACAAACCACTATAAACACACATGTATTAATGTCCTGCCTTACTCTTGCCATCAGGTCTCCAGGCGAGCGCAGTGATCTCCTTCCCCGTGAACTCACTTGGGGGTAAACTCCAAACTCTCTGGAAACTGGCCAATCGGTGCAGCAGCAACTGAGGACAACAGAGAGACATTAACATACAAAACCATAAAAGATACCAAGGCAAGGCAAGTTTATTATTATTATGTATATATTTCAACAAGGACCGTGCATACAAATACATCTCAGAAAAGAGAAGAGATGAATTACACCAGATTAGAGCTGATATCTCATTTCCATCTGCAGTCCTGAGGCAGGTACACAACACTCAATAAACACTACAAACATTGCATCATGTCTATCACACAAACAATTATAAAACATGATTTAAGTACAGGTCAATACAATAATACAAAGTACAGTAAAATAATCATATTTATAGAGCACCTTTCAACACAATGCAATTCAAAGTGCTTTACAAAAATGAAAGACATTAAGAAAATGGCATTTAAAAACAGTCATTAAAAAAGACATGTTTCAGGGATAGATTTATTTCAGATTGTACCTCTCCGGTGGTGTTGGCCAGAGCGATCAGATCTCTCTTTGGAGACCAGGCCATGCACAGCACCGGGTTGGGAAGCTGCTTCTCCCCCACCTGTCTGAAGGCAGGCATGTTGAGGGCTGGGGGCGAGATGAGAAGGGTCAGACCAGAGAGATTCAACTGAAGACATGTGAGAAACGTTCTGCTGGAATACTGTTTTACTATTTGGTTACGTCCAGTTGTGTCCCGCATTGTACATCACAACAAGTTAATAATGTTAATAGTTTGAGCACATTTTCAAGCAGAATTAACACATATTTGGTGTTTTTTTTAAATACTATTAATTATTTTGCAATGTATTTTCCTAGGTATAAAATATATGGTACAGAATCTGGGATGGCAGCTTGATCAGATGAGTGTGCAGCAGGAGGCTATCATTAGCACGGAGCACCTGTAGCCTCATGGTAGCATTGTATAGTCGGTGTCAGTAAAGGAAGATGTATACAATATACCAGAGCAACAACAAAGAGATGCAAACACTGAACTACTAAGAAAGAGACTGACATGGAATAGAAACAGAAGCAGAACAGATGCAGAGACACACAATGTATACAAAGAAGAGCAAAACAACAGAAACTCACACATTAAATAAGAAGAAACATAACAGCTACAGAAGGGACACACAATGACCAGAAAGAAAGTACACACAGTACACTGAAATATATACAGTACACTGAAGTACACACAGTACACTGAAGTGCATACAGTTAACTGAAGTAGTATACAGAGTACTGAGGTACTCACAGTCGACTGAAGTATACACAGTACACTGAAGTACACTGAAGTACACACAGAATACTGAAGTATACACAGTATACTGCAGTACACACATTAAACTGAAGTACATACAGTAAACTGAAGTACACAGAACACTGAAGTACACTGAAGTACACACAGAACACTGAAGTACACACAGAACACTGAAGTACACACAGTACACTGAAGTACACACAGTACACTGAAGTACACACAGTACACTGAAGTACACTGAAGTACACACATAACACTGAAGTACACACAGAACACTGAAGTACACACAGTACACTGAAGTACACACAGTACACTGAAGTACACTGAAGTACACACAGTACACTGAAGTACACACAGTACACTGAAGTACAAACAGTACACTGAAGTACACTGAAGTACACTGAAGTACAAACAGTACACTGAAGTACACACAGTACACTGAAGTACACACAGTACACTGAAGTACAAACAGTACACTGAAGTACACTGAAGTACACTGAAGTACAAACAGTACACTGAAGTACACACAGTACACACAGTACACACAGTACACTGAAGTACACTGAAGTACACACAGTATACACAGTACACTGAAGTACACACAGTACACTGAAGTACACACAGTACACACAGTACACGGAACGGGTTATACATGGAGGGGTCCCTACCAGGTACCCTAACCAAAACAGCAGAAGTGCTAAAGCTACCACTGGATGCTAACATGAAGCATCTCTGTTTACAGCTGACAGATCCCTGTTGTAATGTTAGCTGTGATGCTAGCAGCTAGCAGCAGAAGCTAAACCTCCTCTACTTTAACCCGCTGAACATTACAGGCGGGAAATAATAACTGCTACATACCTTGGTGAGATATAAACACGTCCTACAGTCTGCTCCTTGTTGTGAAACACTACATTAATCCTTTCTTCATCATGTTTTCTTCATCATGTTTTCACAATTACGAGGACAGCGCCATATTTTCCCTTTGACCAATCAGTGAGGAGCTACGGTAAGCGTGAGAGGACAAATTAGCTTGACGCGATTTGTAAATGTCTAAAGAGAATATGAGTTGTTGCTGAGTCTAAAGTAATGTATTCCAATTTAAATGTAATGAATAATCTGGTGGATTATTAATACATATCTTGCAGGTTGTGGGTGACGGTGAACTGCTGAGAGTCTGTGTCAACTGAACAAATATTAAAAAATAATACAAATATAGTAAATCTAACAGTATTTACATAGAAATGGAATAAAAAGGAATAAAATATGGAATACAAATCGGCAGTAAGCTAAACAGGGATATAGCAGATCAATATGAACAACACATTGTCAGTGGTGGAGAGACATTTATAGCATATTGTAGTGCCGAGAGAAGGGAGACGGAGGCGGTGCATCGGAGGTGCAAATCTCTCTTTATTGAGGAGCAGAAATCGACATGCTGTCGGGTCTCAGGATGAGAGGATAAGAGAAAGTGAAAGAGGAGGACACACAGTAGGTACCCCGGAGGTACCGTCAACATATATGTCCGGGCGGAAACAATACCCCCAACCTGTAGTTCCATGCGTGAATTATGTACCCTAGTTAAATAGTGGTCACTACACAAGCCCCCCCAGAATTCAACCATGGACACAATCCTCGCGTCCGGGAGGAAGCACCACAGGGGCCGAGGAGGGCGGGCCATGGAACGGGCCGTCGTCAGGGGGCCGCAGGAGAGGGTCGCGTCGTGGGGACAGGCGTGAAACACCCGGAGGTCCCCAGCAGGGAGGAGCGATGCCCGGCCGCAGGCGAAGGCACAGCGGCGGCGGGCACGAAGTCCTCGGGAGGAAGGAGCCGTGTCCCCGGGAGGAGGGAGACGTGGACAGGGGAGAGGCCAGACGGGGCGCCGTCGAGGCGAACCGTGAGCCGCGGTTAGAGGAGAGGCCAGGCACGGTCCCGAAGCGCGCCACCCGATGCCGATGAAGGCACGGGTGACGTTCGAAACCGCCGAGGCGAGGGAAGAGGCGAGACGGGGTCCAGAAGCGCGTCACCCACGGGCCGAAGCAGCCGTGTGACGTCCGAAGCCGCCGTCGAGGTGGTGAAACAGCGAGAGGGTCCACACGAGGTCGACCAGACATGGTCGAACCTCCTCTCAGGCACCAGAAAAAAACTCAAAAAATGGTCGTCCCGTCCACGAATAAAAACAGGTGGGCGAAATAGCGAGAGGATCCACGCGAGACCGACCAGACTTGATCGAACCTCCCCTCAGGCACCACAAAAAAAACAAAAACAAAAAAAAACAGTCGGATGTCTATAGCCGCTGGCTGCTGTGGCTAGCCGTTGTTAGCTGTTGCCAGCTGCTAGCTGTTAGCAGTCGTGGCTAGCTGATCTCGGCGGCCGTTAGTCGCTGGCCGGACATGCAGCCGCATGTCCCGAACCAACCCGGCACGGTCGCGTACCGGCCCCATGGAAGGCTTGCCGTCCCCCAGAGCCGAAAAGCCGTGGAAATGGCGAGCGTCGTCCGCGTCCATCCCGTGGGGCGCACCGAGCCACAGTCCGAGCGCACGAGGCAGCTACGGAGGTCTCCAAAAATCCCCGGCATTTCGAGAAAAGCTGTGCTTTTTGCCGTGTTCGATTCAGTCTCGGATCCTTCGCGAGACTTATGTCAGGGTCACCACTGTAGTGCCGAGAGAAGGGAGACGGAGGCGGTGCATCGGAGGTGCAAATCTCTCTTTATTGAGGAGCAGAAATCGACATGCTGTCGGGTCTCAGGATGAGAGGATAAGAGAAAGTGAAAGAGGAGGACACACAGTAGGTACCCCGGAGGTACCGTCAACATATATGTCCGGGCGGAAACAATACCCCCAACCATGCGTGAATTATGTACCCTAGTTAAATAGTGGTCACTACAATATTGAAATAAAAACAAGACAATTTTGAGAACTTGGAGTTAGCTGCTAGAATGCTAACAGCTAACTCCAGATGGAGAAGATGGAGAGACGGTTGACAGTGGATGCATTTGGAGAAGCCTTTCAATGATTGGTTAATACAGGATGCAGATTTAACACACACTAATGTGTTGGTTATGTGCGTTCTTATTCTACGTGTGTGTGTGTGTGTGTGTGTGTGTGTGTGTGTGTGTGTGTGTGTGTGTGTGTGTGTGTGTGTGTGTGTGTGTGTGTGTGTGTGTGTGTGTGTGTGTGTGTGTGTGTGTGTGTGTGTGTGTGCAAAATGGTCCAGAAATGACACTGAATGTGTGACATTGACACAGCAGATGTTTTTTAAAAAGTACCTCTTAGTATTTCTTATAAAGATGAGCAGATAATTATTATTATTTAAGACTGATTTATTTGAATTTGTTATTGGGTGATCTAAGTGGATACGTCTCTCTCTCAGTTGGTCTCTGGAAGTGTCCGATGATGTTCAGGGTAGATCTTCAAAATGAATCCCTCATTTCATTGGTGTTTTTTAAATGTTTGCAGTGCTAGTCACTGAATGCAGGCGAACCGGGAACTCCCACAAAACCTGAGATACTCCTTTTCACTTACAGGATACAACACTTCTTTGGCCTGATGGCAAGAGGTTCCCTCTCCTCTTCTTCGACCAAGACCTCTGATACCTGAGGTGGTGGTGCAGAACTAGCCTTAATAATAGCCAGCTGGACCCTGTCACTGTGGACCTGTGTTGGGATTGGGATTGGATTGGATTGTGTTGGTGTCTCCTCACAATCTGGACCGGACATAACGGCCGCCACCAAGGTTTCCAACACCTCTGCAACCAAAACCTCTGGGACCTGCGTTGGGATTGTGATTGGATTGGATTGTCTTGGTGGCGCATAACGAGCCTTCATAACTGCTAGCTGAACCCTCTCACTGTGGACCTTGATCTGATGGTTCATCCACCAGCTCATCTCCTTCAGGAAACTCTCCGAAAGCCTCCAGATGTCCTGTTTTATTCCTTTCTGATATTCTATGACGGTTTCATCAGAGATCATCAGAGATCATCTTCGATCTGACACCTTCTGATGACATCCAGGTAGCATTCACAAAATCTTGCCAGATACTGCTGGCAATCACAAACTCAGAGAGGAGGTCAACAAGAGTCTGTGTGATTTCAGGGATTCGAACAGGGACGGTGCCTTTGAACTTCTGAACAACACAGACGTCTTCTCCCTCCTCTGGTTCCCCCCCATCGTCCTCCAGGAGAACATCCCAAACCTCATCTACCACTACCTGTAAGGAACGTCTGCTCTTCTCAACAGCGCCCACTTGATAATGCATTCTACTTGTCTGTTTCACCATACAATGAATGGACGCTTTAACATATTCCTTGGCTAAAAACGTCCTGATGGTGTTTCCTATGTTCTTCTGTTTATTCATTAGCTCAATGATTTCTGCAGCTACTTGTTTAACCTCTAGTGAGCTCTCAAACGCCAAGTCTTGAAACTCAGAGTCGGAAAGGTCATAGAAGGTCAAAACATTACAGAGGATATAATTCACATCCTCAGATAAAATATTGAGGACCTCGAAAATGGTTGGGCCGATGGCCAAAGGTTCCCTCACCTCTCCTGGCACAGAACTATCCTTCATTAAAGCTAGCTGGACCCTGTCACTGTGGACCTGGATCTGATGGTTCATCCAAGAGCTTGTTATCATCTGGAAACTCCCCGATTCTCTCTCCATGTATTTTCTCATCCCAGGGCGAATCACACGAACTGGGACTGTTTCATTAGAGAACATAATAAATCTACCATTGGCCCAAAAGAAACTGGGGCCCCTCGAAAACTGATGCCAGGAAGTGAGGGAATTCACAAACTCATAGAGGAGGTCGGCAATAGTGTGTGTGATTTTAAGGATTCGAGCAGGGGCGGTGCCTTGGAACTTCTCAACCACAGAGACCTCTTCCCCCTCCTCTGGATGTTCCCCATCCTCCTTCAGGAGAACATCCCACATCTTATCTACCATTATCTGTAATGAGCCTCTGTTCAACACAGCAGGGTTGTCGGTATAATACTTTCTCCTTGTCTGTGTCGCCATACGATGAATGGACGCTTTGACATATGTCTTTGATAAACACGTCATGATGGTGTTTCCTATGCTCTGGTTTTGAGCCATTAGCCGAGTTATCTCTCCCGCTACTTGTTCAATCTCCAGTGAGCTCTCAAACTGCAGGTCCTCTAACTCAGAGTCTGAAAGGTCCTCCAAACGGCGTCTGGTGATATATTTCACCTCCTGAGTTATAACGTTGAGGACCTCAGAAATAGCTGGGACCCACGATGAGACACTCCCCTGGTTCATGGTGATAGTTTTCATTTCCATTAGGATATTTAGTGAATAGTTTGGTGGATTATTAATAAATATCTTGCAGGTTGTGGGTGAACTGCTGAGAGTCTGAATAAACCGCTGTGTTAGTGTGAACTGAATACATTTAACTCATGTTTAGTGATTTAAGAACGTCTTCAGCCTCGTCTCCAGCTCACTTTGGGCTAAGGTATCGCACAACTAGATTTTGGTACTTGGTAAATATTGTATTAATAGTGATTTTGTCAATCAGAATATTTCATACTTTTACTTTAATTTGGCTACTAGCTTGATTTATTTCTTTAGCTAGGTTTAATATTTTAGCTGCTGCTGCTGATAACTGACAATTTTTATGAGTACGTTTTTGTGTGTTTGGGAGAGATTTTATGTACCTGATGTCATTTGGTGAAGTAATTATTTGAATCTCAAATAATGTATTGCTCCGGAAGGGCCACAGGAGAATTATTTTTGGGATGTGGCTAAAAGTACAATATTTTCTTTTTATTATGACTTTTTTCTCAGAATTCTAAGGTAAAGGTCAGAATTCTGAGAAAAAAAGCACGTCTTTTTCTTTTCTTTTTTAGAATTTTGTGAAAAAAGTATCTCATAATTCTGAGAATGTCAAAAAAAAAGTTCAGAATTATGAGAAAAAAGCAAGTATCTCGAAATTCTGAATTTTTCGGAAAAAAGTTTGATTACTGAGATTAAAATCAGAACTCATATTTTTATAATTTCTTTTTTTTTTAGTATTCTGAGAGAAAAAAAGTAGGTATTTCATAATTCTATGAAAGAAAATATAAGTTTTTGACTTTTCTTAAATTCTTAGAAAAAAGTAAGAATTTATTTTTCAGAATTAAAAAAAAAAAGTCAGATGTTTTTTTTACTTTTGGTCACATCCCAAAAAAATCTAAGTTTCAAAAGGGGTTTCTGGATTTTTTTCTCAGATCGCACATTTGTTTATACTTTTGGTCACATCCCCATGAAAAAGATTTTTTTTTTTTTTATTCTGAGAAAAACTCTGAAAATAGTTAGTTTTTTTCTTTCTTTACTTCAAAAAGTAAGTATTTCTGAGTGTTTCGGGAAAAAAGTTGGATTTTTGTTTTCCAGATTTCTGGATTTTTTTCTCAGGATTCTGAGATTAAAGTCAGAGCTCATTTCTTTTACTTTTGGTCAAATCCTCTATGAAGAAAAGTCAGTTTTCTTTTTTTTTTTGCTTCGTATTCTGAGAAAAAAAGTAGCTATTTCATAATTCTGAGATTTTCCGAAAAAGTTTGGATTTCTACTTTTCTTTTTTAAAAGTTTTTTCTTATTTCTTTCTTCTGCAGCAGAAAGTTTAAATACTCAAGAACATTTAAATACTAAAGCAAAATACAAGTACTTTAAAATTGTACTTAAGTACTTAGTAACTGTCCCCCCCCCCCCCACATGTAAATGTATATTTAATGTGTGTTGTGGTGCGCGTCAGTGGGAAGTAATGCTGGAAATGTTCCAGAACTATTCTTATAGATAACAGCTCAGATACCTACGTTAGAGAAGTCATCACTAAATACTCTGTGTGTGTGTCTGTGTGGGCGTGTGTGTGTGTGTGTCTGTGTGTGTGTCTGTGTCTGTGTGTGTGTGCGTGTGTGCGTGCGTGTGTGTGTGTGTGTCTGTGTCTGTGAGTGTGTGTCTGTGTGTGTGTGTATGTCTGTGTCTGTGTGTGTGTGTGTGTGGTGTGTGTCTGTGTGTGTGTGTGTGTATGTCTGTGTCTGTGTGTGCGTGTGTGTGTGTGTGTCTGTGTGTGTCTGTGTGTGTGTGTGTGCGCGTGCGTGTGTGTGTGTGTCTGTGTGTCTCTGTGTGTGTGTGCGTGTGTGTGCGCGCGTGTGTGTCTGTGTGTGTGTGTGTGTGTGTGTGTGCGTGTGTGTGTGTGTGTGTGTGTGTGTGTGTGTGTGTGTGTGTGTGTGTGTGTGTGTGTGTGTGCGCGTGTGTGTGTGTGTGCGTGTGTGTGTGTGTGTGTGTGTGTGTGTGTGTGTGTGTGTGTGTGTGTGTGTGTGTGTGCATTCCTTCCAGCTGTATCACTGTGTAATCAGCAGATTGATGAGGAGCAGAATAGCTCTGTGATAGAGAGAGAGAGTAGAAATAGAACGAGAGGCTGTGTGTGAACCCTCTGCTTTGTCTTAAGGCTGAATCACAGTTTAAAAACAGTGGTGTCCAAACTACGGCTTGTGGTCCGTTTGTAATTGGCCCACACCTACACCATACATCTTAAACATACATTACACAGTAGTAATCATGTGTTAGTCAGAGTCAGCCCACTTCTCTAATAAATCCAGTCAATTCAAGTTGAAAACATTATTTAGTTTAGTTTATTAGTTCAAGGTGTCGTTCACAGTCCTCATTAATGAACAGAAACAGTGAATGGAGCAGCTTTAGCCAACATGGCTAATCTCTAGCTGTTGTCCAGATGATAATCTCTAGCTGTTGTCCAGATGATAATAGAAACCCTAAAATCACCAAACATCACAAGGGTTAATTAGGAAGAAAGGATGAAAGACATGAAGATAGAGGAGGTACACTATCAAACAAATCCCAATATCCCTTCATATGTTCCCTTAGCATAATCAATCTGAGGCTTCTGTTCTGAGTATTTCTACTTTTACTGAGTTAACAGATCTGATTTTCTGTGGTAAGATCAGTGGGTGGTCTTTGGGTCCCCCCCCCCCCCCCCCCTCAACGCTGCTGTCACTTTAAACGTC